TTTTTGTTCGTCTTTCCTACTATTGTCTCCCATTTCTCCTCCATTCCTCCTCCATTTCTCCTCCATCTTTCCTCCATCTCTCCTCCATCTCTCCTTGATTTCTCCTCCATCTCTCCTCCATTTCTCCTCCATCTCTCCTCCATCTCTCGTCCATCTCTCCTCCATCTCTCGAAGAGCGCGACTGAGTAAAGGGAATACATGTGGAGCGGGGCTGATATTCTGGCTCTGTTATTGCTGCGCGCAGGTCATCTTGTCGGGCTGCAAGTATGAAGCCAGCCTTGTCAAGCGCCATTTTGATGTCCTTGGCCCCGCAGGTAAGGATCCTTCGAAGGTGGGAAAGTGGTGGCTTTGCCATTACTGCGATCAAAATTTTTCGGGCAATCTCAATCCCCTGAAGGAACTTTTCACGAAGGGGATTTGCGCAGTTGAGAAATCAACAAAAACATTGACCGCAAAGGAAATATTGAGAAGGAAGGAAGCAGGCAAGGATAGACTCGGGCATGCCGAGGGATGGTGCCAATGCCCTATGTGCTGTCAACAGTTTGGTGGCTGCTTCTATGGGCGGTGGTTTGGTCGAAGATGTGGGCGACGCTTGTGGCGAAGCGGCGGGCGACACTTGTGATGAAGGGGTGGGCGGCAGCGGGCCAGGTGTCATGGCGCATCGCACAGGTGCATCTGCTGCACGTGTTGCACGAATGCGACAGATGGTGTTGGAGGAGACCGACAACGTCGTCACAAAGAATGAGCAGACGTCAAGAAGAGTAGACTGCTGGATGATGTGCACGAACCAAACATTCAACATGGTTGAGAACGAGTTCTTCAACGACATGGTGAACGCCATACGAGAGGCCAACCCATCATGGAGACTGCACTCGAGAGAGGCGGTGCGTAATGGTCGATTGAACGGACAACACCAGAGGGCGATCGAGGACGTGGGGAGGTCGGCGAAGAAGTGGGCTCACACAGGCTGTATGGTGCAATTAGATGGGTGGTATGACCGGCGGGGAAGACCACACGTAAAACGTCGTGGTGTCCTTTCCCATTTGCACCGTCTTTTGGAAGTCGGTCTGCGTAGCGGGAAAGGACATAGACGCCAGTGCGTACTACAGGATACTCACCGCTGCGATTGAGGAGATTGGCCCAAGAAGCGTGGTTGGGGTGATCATGGATAATGCCTTGGTTTGTGTGAAGGCCGGGAAGTTGGTGGAGAAAAAATACCCTGGGTTGCACGACGCATGCCCTTGACCTCGCATTGGAGGACATGGACAAGCGCATTCCATGATTTGCGGAGACTATGAAGAGGGGGAATGTGTTGGGGAAGTTTGTGATGAACCACGACAAGGTTTGAGCACTCTTCCTGACCAAATCGGGTGATGTGCAGATAAGAGGCCGGGCGTCACTCGATTTGCGACCAACATCATCATGTTGCAGTTGTTGTGGGATAGGAGAAACACCCTGAAATTGACTGTGGCTGCCAGCGGGTGGGTCTCCTCCATAGTGCCGCCCCACTTGCGTTCTCAATTCGAGGAGGTGACGACGAATATCTTGGATGGCGGCTTTTGGGAGTTTGTGGACAAGGCCTTGAGGACCACGGACCCCATCGTAACGCTACTGAAGCTCGTCGATGGTTCGGGCGCAACAATCGCCAAGGTTTATCATCGAATGGATGGTGTGGTGGAGTCGATTCCCGAGCTGGACATCTTGACAAACTTTGAGAAGGTAGAGGTCGAGTCGATCCTCATGGATCGATGGGCGTTCATGACTTCAGAGTTGAACTGTGCAGCAGCCTTCTTGGACCCGGAGTACAGATCGCAGTGCTCCTTCAAAGACCCCGAGATCCGAGCCAGGTTCAACATATGGTTGTACACCTGGTGCACGAATGAGATGTTCGATGACGTGAGCTGGCAGGTTGACGAGTGGGTGAATTCGAGGGGGGCCTTGCAATCAGAGGAAGCTTTGTGTGCAACACGCACCAAGACCCCGACGATGTGGTGGGAAGCGTTTGGCTCGCGGCTGCATCTTTTGCAGCCCCAACCGATCAGACTGTTGGGCCAGGCAAGCTCATCCGCGACATGCGAACGCAACTAGAGTCTGCATGAGCTCGTTTTTGGCAGGAGGAGGATGAACCTTATGCCCACCCGCCTATCAAAGCTCGTCTACAACAACTGGAACCTCCACCTGCAGTGGAGGCAAGAGCACGACCGTGGTGTGGATGATGTCCACATTCCGTGGGTGGAGGAAATGCCAGACGCCGAGTTGAAGGACGAGGTAGAGCAATTTTACAATGATTGGGTGAAATGGGTGAAGAACAGCATGCCGAGTGGTGGGAATGACGCGTCGGACAAGGAAGACGAGTCGGAGGACGACGACGATGGTGAGGAAGTGCCTATGGCAAGGAGGTGGTTGCGCAATGACGAGGTGAACAATGCAATGGACCAGGAGGAGGGCCTTGCGCACATAGATAAGTACACGAACGACTGGCACTTCAACACTCGACCGGGGAGGCAGCTGGAGTGAGCCTTGCGAAGGTTGTCGGGCTATTTGCGCCCAACACCTGAAGTGCGGTATAACAAGGAGGACCGGGAGCTTGCGCTGCGGGCTCGAGAGACGGGCAATTGGGTGGAGGGTCGAAAGGAAGGCGGAAGCAGCAGGCAACGTAAAGTGCGACGCGATGATGAGGATCGTCGTGACGGTAAATGTGTTGCGGAGGAGGACATTGCACCTCCGGAGAAACGGAAGAGAGGGCGGCCGACCAACAAAGAGGTCGCAGCAAGAAAAACAGCAATGCGAGCTGAGAAGAAAAAGACAGCGTTGGAAGCACCGAGAAAAAAGAAAACCGTTGGAAAAAGCAGCAGCAAAAACAAGAAAGAGGGACGACATTACCGACGATGACGACAAAGAAGCACGTTCATCGTCTTCAACTTCATCAGAGGAAGGGGATGATGAAGATCATGATGCCAACTACAGAGTACCGCGGAGTGTAGAGGAGGGAACTAAGCATGAGGAGGAAGAGGAAGGCGAGGAGGAGGAGGAAGGCAAGGAGGAACAGGAAGGGGAGGAGAAAGAGGAAGGGGTCGCAGAGGAAGAGGGTGAGACTTCTGCACAGGGAGGTGCAGAGGATTAGGAAATTTAGGTGGAGTTGATGCCACTGACTGCAAAGTTTGCAGTTTCGCGGTTTATCTTTCGATGTTCGGTTGATGTTGCATACTTCGATGAGTGTGGGCAGAACCAAAGATCAACCAATATAGGATGAGCATGTATGCAGCGGAAGTCTGATAAACGAACTGACTCACATAGACTGACTCRCATAGACTGACTCRCATAGYATCACTCCACACACATACAATCGTGAGATGGTGGGGTCTGAGCCATACAAAGAAGGTGCTCAGCCCCGTACACAACATACACAGATGAATGGGGGAGGAGAGACGAAGGAGGTGAGGCAGGTAGGCAGCACTGAAAGTCACCGTGATAGAATCTGATAGGTCACCGATATGGTAGTCCAAAATGTCATCCAACAAGATCAAAATATCGAGGACAATAGGTCGCCAATGTCGGAGGTACAGAGTCCAAATATAACCGGTGTCCAAACTGCGATGCAGCCGAGTATCAACCCCAACAATCTCAAAGTCTCCAATCAGGTAAGTACCACAGTCTCATATCACCGAAGTCCAACTCTGATCTCTGTCCAACTAGTATAAGTATCCAATCTGAAGAAGAAGNAAGTCTCCAATCAGGTAAGTACCACAGTCTCATATCACCGAAGTCCAACTCTGATCTCTGTCCAACTAGTATAAGTATCCAATCTGAAGAAGAAGAAGAAGAAGAAGAAGAAGTAGAAGGACGGAGCCGAGGAGGAGAGGGCGAGAGAGGGGACTGGCGATGGGAGGGAGGAGAGAAACCTCCAACTCCCGGTACTTCAGGCGGCCATGGCCGCCGGTAACCCATTCGCCACTGCTGCTGCGCTAATCTGCGCTGCGCTGATCCTCGCTGCTCCTGCGCTAATCTTAGCGCCAACGCTGTATCGCGCTGTACCATACCGTACCGGTAGAATGCCGGTAGGTCGATCCCCTGAGTGAGGCCGGACCGTTTTTTTATACCGGTGGGCAGAGGCCGGCTTCACTGCTGCGAGGCCTGGCTGTGCCCTGAACCGTCCAGATGGACGGTTCAGCCCGAACCGGCGGGCGGCAGCCTCAAGAGCGCCGCCAGGCCCAAACGGTAATGTTGTTTGGGCCTGCCCGTCGGGTCTGGTCCAAGGTGAGGCCTTTATGGCCTGTAGTACCCCAAGGTCGGGCCTTTAGGCCCT